AATGTCCACTACATTGATGTCATCCGTGGCCGAGAATGTCTTGGAAGTGAGTTTCCAGATGAAAGAGTCGTCAATGTTTCCGTCCCAATGCACTCCACATATCTCTCCTGCAAACGTGCCATTAGTTCATTAGTTCACAGTTACAGTCAACCAGTCATAAGACATACCATTCTTTGTTCCGATTACTATCTCCTCCTCGGCTGCCATTAAACTGTCAACAAAAGTGAGTGAAGAGTGAAGTGCTATGAATGCTATGACATGAGATGGTAATACCATTTAATCCCAGTTGTGATTTGCGTCGAAAACGATAGCATCAGAAGCAAAGACGGAATCTTTTCGGTGACAAACAGTTCAGAGCTCTCGCGCCGAAGACCTGAAACACTAGTTGGCAAAGAAGGCGTGTTATGGTCGAGGAATAGAGGAATAGGTGACAAACAGTAGAGCTTAAGACAAGACATTACTCGACATCCTTTTGGTCGAACAGATGGCCATCACTTGAGTTGATGACCAGTGTTGGCAAAGAAGGCGTGTTATGGTCGAGGAATAGAGGAATAGGTGACAAACAGTAGAGCTTAAGACAAGACATTACTCGACATCCTTTTGGTCGAACAGATGGCCATCACTTGAGTTGATGACCAGATTGTAGAACAATAGGAAGTCCTGATCCGTTTGGACGACAATGAGTGTGGAGTCGGGTCTCCAAACCATTTGCACATTAGAACCAAACTCTTGGAGACTCTGGTCGTCCCGCTTGTGACCAACGATACGAAGTGAGGGCCGGAAGTGCCAAATGGAGAGCTCGTTGCGGGACAGGAGGCCCAGGAGGGAGCGGTCAGTGTTGCCAACGACACACTCTGTGCCCGCCGTCCCTCGCAGTGTCTGCGGCCACCCGTACGCCCAATACATGACTGTCCAGTGATGTGAGTGATGCCAGTGATGTCGCACTCACTATCATCTCATTGTCCACTACTCAACACAATCAACACAATCATCCAAACATTCACTCAATTACTGCACTTATCGTCATATGTGTCACACATTCCCATTCATTAGTCAAGTATATGTTTTCGCATATCTCATCCCATTTTATATATCAGTTAAGGCTTACTACAGCTTATATGGTAGCAGTAAAAGGTACCATTTCTATATTCAAGTCAATGCTTTTTAAGTAGTATTTACAAACATTACTGTGATTGCGTGTTAAAGTTCTACACGCGTTAGTGGCTGAAATGACGCGTATCACATATACGCCTCAAACTAACTATTTACCTTGGTATTTTTTTAATAAATAATATAAATAATATATTTTTTATAATTTATCATTACATTCCAATATATTTTCTATGGGAAATGAAAAATAGAAACCATTTTTACAAAGGCAAATTACGCAGTTAGTATGGTTAATTAATATGGCATATAATATATCTTTAAAAACCGGTAAGTTGGGGCTATTAATCCCTAAAGAGAGATCAAGGATTTGATTATCCTTTCAAGAGATTATCCATTTCCCGCAAGATAGGTAGTTAGTTCGAGGGGAGTATGTTACGACATGACATTACATATTTGAAAGTGTCCTTCGTCCGAGTTAACATTTAATTTTATTTAATTATAATTTGTTTTAAATTAATTTCTTATTAAACATAATTAAATGCATGTTTACAATATGATAAAATATTAATATTCGTGTAAATATATGTGAACTTCATTTCATTTTATTGTACGAGTACGGACATGATGTGACATATTGGTTTGCATCTATGTCATTTGGCAAACCTTAACTGCTACTGTACCGTAGTATTGTATATACAGTAGTACAGTCTATAGGCGTGAAATATTACAGTATACTGTACTGTAAATGAGTGTTGCCTAAGTTTGGAGACTTTTAAAAACTAAAGCGTAATGCTAATCAATGGATATTGTGTTGTAAAAAGGGCCGTAAGTTTTATGTCGGCGTTTACAACAACTCATAAGATGTGCTCATTATATCGAGTCAAGTCTTACAGTGTATATAGTGTACAGCCATTACATTGAGTGTGATATGTATTGTATTATTATTATGTAATCAATTGGTTATGCATTTGTTGTGCAGTATTATGAACACTGTTAGGAGTACTGCAGTACTGCGGCTATAGTTGTGTTCATTTGAATGACAACACAATTGCATTGTCTGTCAGTCTAAGTGTGTGGTTGAGTGTCAACAACAGTACCATTAGTACACTATTGGGTAGTATTTGTACATTACATGTGACCAGAGATGAGTGATCACTGATCAGTGAGCGAGTGGTGACTATCAATAGTGTTGTGAGGAATGGGCGAATCGGGTGACGACGTGTTGGCCGACTTCTCGCAGGCCTGGGCTCATCGGTTTGGACACGACTGCCAACTGCCGACCGCGTGGGAGGACGACGTGAGGGCCAACCTCTTAAAGCACCAGACGAGGGTCACGACCCTCAAGCACGAGCTCGAGAAGGAGGAGTTCTATGTCCAGTACCTCCAGAAACTGCTTCACGACGCCGACCGCGTCAAAGGCAAGGGTCGCACTGTCTTACAGTGTCTTACAATGTCTAACACACTCTCATCGGTTGCTGCAGGCGATGGACACCCATCAGATGCATCTCAAGTGGACAGTCATGAGGGCAGTGATGGCACGACAGCCATGACGCCAGTGAAGGAGAAGGACGACCAATACGTGACTGTAATCACAGTCAGTAGTTATGGTGAGATCCAGAGGCCGGCAAAAGTGGACACCAAAGCTGCCAAACAACCCCTGATAGACAACCCGTTGTATCAAACATCTCACGCATTGCCAGATGTGAGCGTTGAGTGCGAAGGTTGGTCTCGAAACTAGCCGTGCCTTACGATATGGTGTGAGACTGTATGTAAGGCACGGGTGTGAGTGAGAGTGAGATATAGAGCTATATTAAGCTGTAATTGAATTGTCATTTGAATAGTTGCTAAGAAGAAGAGACCGCCCACTCCTCCGCGCAAACCAAAGGTTATGACGAATACAAACATGACTTCCATTAGTGTATTGGAAGACCACAACAATGGCAACCAATTAGTCATATCTCGTGACAATTCACTGTCAAAGAAGAGTATTGGGTGTATTGGGGAAAGTGGTGAGCAGTCGGAGCAGTCGGTGGACACGACTAGTGTTCTCTACGATGACGACGAGAACAACATCTACGATACGGTAGCACCAGACGAGCCATCCGTTTGTAATGTCAATGCAAACCATACCAAACATACGACCAGTGATTTGATTGATTCAAACTCATCGACTGACAACTTGTCGGCAAAATATTATGATTTGAATAGTTATGCCAATTATGTGAACATTGATTACTTCTTGAGAAAAGACGAGACTTCTTCACGTGATGACAGCGATGACAACGAGACTCAGGTCTCACAGTCGCTGTCCAGCGATCATGAAATTGATGACAATTGTCAGCTCATTAAGTGTGTTAATGTGGACCTCATTGGCAACGATTGTCTCGACATTGAATCGATGGAGTCGTTGGATAGGAAGCGGTCAGTCATTGCTCCCACTTATGACGAAGTCTTTGAATCGGATTCTGGTATTGAAACCATTTGTCATTTGTTTATTGATTATTGATTAGTAATTGCATTAAATGTGGTTTAGTTAACACAACACATGATAGCTCTTCGCCCAAACCCAACGACAATGAAGTGAGTACTGTATCACATAATCACATACTAACCCATGTCCTCAACATCTAAACATCTAAACGTCAACACAATCATAGTGTAAACTGCCATCACTTATAAGCCTGAAATGTTCAAGGTATTATGGACATATAATTGTTTAAAAGTCGGATTATTGGAGATAACTTGCCTCCCTGTGCTATAACTATACATTGTATTACAAATTTATGAGCACCATTATCCTTAGTTTTTGAAGCCCCTTCCAACGGTGTACTTTGAGTCACTCTAGGAATTATAATTTTTAAGTTAGAGCAAAAAACTACAGCCCCTGCAACAAAGTGACTCCATTGCAGAGCTTAAAGTGCATGAAAATATGAAAGAACAATATTTTCAGTTTATTTTGAATCAGTGTAGTTTTCAAATAAATGATTTTCACAGTACTTTCCCGACAACCCAATCAAATTATTTCTCTATTTTATTGTTTATTGTATTTTTTTGATACGAAAAACATTAACAATTCTTAGCAATTGAATGAATGTTTGCATTCATAACGCTGTAAGAAATGCATTCATTTGATGTTCACATGAAATAAGTATCGGTTCATTTGAACTCAATTTATTTATTTACCGTATATGATAAAAATACAGTACCATATACCTGTATATCTTATGGACATATTCTAATACTAAAATAACATAAAATTTCCCTGAGCATTTTGATATTGGAATAGAAAGCAAATGTGCAATAGCGTAAAGTGTGTAAGTAATGGCAGTTTATACTGTACTGTATGCTTGGAAATGCTATTACCGTAATACTGTACTTGCATCTTGATACTGTATTAATAGCTGTATACACAAAATCTCGAAAAATAGAATCTCGGACAACGAAATCTCGAAAAATATATATTATTTAATTATTTGGTTAATTATATAATTACGGTATATATATAAGTATAAAATGAATTAAAACTAACACAAAATAGAAAATTTTAATTATAAAATATTCTAAAAAGTATTTTGGTTAGTTTTTTGTTTTTAATAGGCTATTTATCTATTTATATCTAGATTTTAAAGCAAGATTGAAAATATTTTGTGAAATAAATGTTTTAAAAGTTAAAAAAATAAGTAAAAATGAGATTATATAATTATCGAGATTGTGATGTACTCGCATTAATAGCTGGTATATTAATTGGTATATTAATTGTATGCTTTTAACATTTGACAGCCGATTCACTTGAGACCTAATAAGATGAATGCTATAGAAGTTGAGAGACTAACGATGTATAAGTGCATTATAGCCAGCATTACAGAGAGTGAGACTATTTATGTGGATTGTCTCAACACTTTAATTCAGTACATGAAGGCATTGAAGTCAACATTAGGCACAACGCATCCACTGCTCACTCCCGAAGAATTGTCGACAATATTCTATAAAATACCAGAACTTTACTCAATTCACTGGACATTCTTAGAAGGGCTTAAGAAGCTGTCCAATAGTGCCAATTGTGACTCCAATGAGACCAATGCTAACAACCCAATGATAGGCGAACTGTTCAAAGTGTTGGCCAGTCGTTTGGGTGCTTACAGTGCTTTCCTCAAGAATTACTCCAAAGCTTTAGAAACAGTCCATAAGTGCAGTGCAACTAATAATCAATTTTGTGAAATCACTCGAGTATGAGATGATATTTATTAGCAATTAATTACCTTATAATCTATAATCTAAATGTGTTTTTGTTGCATTGTTGCAGTCAATTAAAATCATGTCACTCAAGGGACAATCGGTCACCATAGAGGGTATGTATTACCACTACAAACACCACAATGATTATTATGAAATAGAGGGTACAGTATACTGATTGTTGTCATATTTGTGCAGAACTTCTCCATAAGCCAGTGGCCAGAGTCCAGAAGAATGCGTTGGTTTTACACGATTTGCTGAAATACACGAATGAAGGGCTCAACGAATACAAGTCACTTAAGACAGCCCTTAAGATGACTCAATGCTTTCTCAATGACCTAAACATAGCGGCCACCGAACAAATGTTTCCGGTTATACCCCTTATATGATACATATGGATGTGATGAGAACCCTTCTAATGGCTATTTGTTGTTTAGATTCAGGACAAAACCCAAAGACGTTTAGTTAAGGAGAGTTTTATTGTGGAAAGCAGTGATGAGAAGCGAAAACTAAGGCATTTGTTTCTATTCAACGATGTCATAGTGTGTGCCAAATATAAGGCGGCGGCCAAGTATGACATACTTTCATAACTCAGTCTTTATCAGTATTAGTAATAATACTGTATTACTCTCAACAGTCATTCATAGGTTTTGTTTTTATTGTTAGACAAAAATTTACATTTGAATTAAAGTCGTATAACATGTTGAATGAGATCACGATATTGGACACTGAAAGTGAGTACCGGTACACAGTATTGTACAGTACTTATAGTACTGTCATATGATTTGAATGGAAAGTACGGTAATTGGTATTTTGACATTTATGTTCATTATGTTCATTATGTTTAGTCGAATCTCAAACTCTTTTGAACACTCGAGACAAAGAAAATAATAATAATTTACTTAATATTAAATCAAGAGTTAGTAATACACGGGATCTGATAGCACGAGAAGAAGAGAAAGAGGTATTGAAGTTATTTACCGCTAATATATACTGTTATACTCTAATACCGTACAGTAATTAATGACAATCATTAGACTAATGCTTTGATTGAATAGAAGGGAAAACTGAATACAAAACTGTTGGAAAAGTTAAAGAAGAAACGATCAGATTTGGTATAAGATTCACATATAGTTAAGACTCTTTAGATTGTAATTACATTTGACGTGTTTGATTGGTAAAGGAGGCACATCTGGTCCTATATCTACCACAACTCAAGTTCTCGATGAGCCATAAAAGTGGCAAAATATATACATTTTATTTATCCTCTGATTTTGAGAGAAGTCAATGGATTGAATCGATTAAAGTATTGCAACAATCGGGTATGAATTGAATACATTATTAAGATTTACAATCATTGTAGCACTGTACCTGTAATAGACTTATTTTGACACGATAACTATGTATTTGCAGCTCAAACAAATAAAAATAGTTACGATTCAATCAATTTTCATGAACTCCAGGCTTGGATAGAGACCTGTCGTAAAGTATGTGTTTGTGCCATATATACACAATTGTCACTAATGTATACTATTTATTGCAATCAGAATTTGAATCCCAATTCTTTGGGGTCATTCCTCTTGCGTTCTTCTAAGGACGACGACCTACTCTTTGGTGATCTTTACTTAACTGTCAAACACTTGAAAGGGTTGAGTAGAGAAGCGGGTAATGAAATTAAAGGAGTTTTAATGGACAGCTTTAAAATATGGAAGTATTGACTTGTTTGCTGTTTAGATATATTGTTCATATTGGAACTGGACACTTATGGCCACTATATTCAGCGTGGCGTCACTCATGTGAGTCGCCAATCACTAGAACCTCACTTCGATCAGGTTTGCTCTCATGTGCTTCCATATGCCATACCATTGCTATACCAGTGCTCATGTATAATGAATTGTGTTTTGTATTGACAAGGAGTTTGTGTTGGATTTGGAGGGAACGCAAACTTTACGAATATTGTGTTACGAAGAGATCAGTGGACAACAGAAGCCATTTTTCAGAGGCAAAGCCAGTTTAGAATTGAGCCAAACGTGGCTCTCAGACAAACAAAGCCAACAAATGGTCCCTATTTTAGATGTAAAACACATTCAATGAATTATGAGTGCATTTAATGATAGTTTGATTAATGTTTGAATGTTTCAGTGTATTCTAACCCTAAACATAAGATACGTGTCATCGCAGTCACAAACGGCACGATTCCCTGCGTCTAAGGTTTGCGGTGCTTTCGGTGTGAATGTGCAACAGGTCTGCAGGTATGTCCGTCCTCTACATCTATCGTTGTTATGCTTTTCTCATCATTGCTTTGTGTCTCACTTTACAGAAAAGAGAAGACTTCGGTTCCATATCTTATTACGAGTTGTATTCGAGAAGTCGAAAGAAGAGGTATGAAAGAAGTGGGCGTTTATAGAGTGTCCGGCCTTTCATCAGATGTCCAAAAACTTAAGAAGTCTTTCGAGACGAGTGAGTCATTAGTTTGAATACTGTTTGTAACGGAATGTGTTTTATATGAATGTTTGCATTATTTAAATGACAGATCCATACGAAGCAGAGCTACTCATGAAGGAGATGGACATTCATTCTGTGACCGGTTTATTAAAGCTATACCTCCGGGAACTGCCGGAGTCTCTCTTCACCAATGCTTTGTATAAGAAGTATTTCGATGCTTTCAGTGAGTTATTGAGTATTTGAATCAATGTATGATTAGATTGTAATGAATATCATTTAATTCAAGATATGACCCATCAATCGGAAAAAAGCAAACGATTGCTCTCATTGTTCGCAGCACTTCCTCAGCCCAATCAAACCATTGTTGCCGCACTTATTGACCATTTTTATCGGTAACTCTCTCTCTCTCTCTCTCTCTCAATAATAAGTTGGTTTATGTTTGTCATGCAGAGTGAATCAGTTTGAAGAGCACAATAAGATGTCTTTACATAACTTGGCGACAGTTTTTGGGCCAACAGTGCTGCGTGCGGGTGGTGGTGGTGGTCATGGGAACCCTGTGCCGTCAGTGGCGGACTCGTTCACTGCGGGCACGATTGACGTGATGGCTCAGGCGGGCATTCTATACTTCTTTCTGCTTCGCAGAGCTTCCGGCATCTCTCTGACCACTACTGAGACACAGCTTTAGTTGTGTTGAGAATATGAAAACATCTCGTATTTAGTCATTGACTCTGAAATGAGATTTGAATGCTTACTATACTGTATGCATACCGTACGAGTTCTACCGTACAAACATGTATACATTGGTATTAAAACCTGTAATTTACATAAATTTAGACCTTGCATATATTGTATGTAAATTGAGGATATGATACCTTGAGTGAGTGTTCACCAATTTTCTGGTCATAGATTGATTGCTTGCGACAATCAATCAATTTTTATCATATTCTGGTCACAAAGTCATCATATCATATATAAATGATACATTTGTTTTGATTTTGGAAACTACTTTCAATTCATTTATTAAGTCCAATACGAATACTGTATGTCTTGCCTCACTTCCATCAATATATTGTACAATACAATAGAAAATATACATTTTATATAAAAGTTGTTTTTATGACAGTTATATCAAATTTAACATTTTTATATGCATTTGATGAGTGCATGACCAATACCGTATTATATCATAGGTATGTGTGTTAGTCATTAATTATTCAACAATTATATAATAACTTATTTATTTGTATTTTTATAGCCTACACTCTATTTCAATCATATTATATTTAAGCCTTTTGTTATTTTTTTGTCTATTATTTTGATACCATATTGAGTGCAATTGAATCAAAAATATAGCCAATACTTGATTTTGTAATTTGTATGAAAACACATTTATTTATATGAATAAAGCAAATACAATATAATACTGTATTACAGTTACGGTAATACTATTATCTGTAATAGAGGTGGGATTCCGACACCGAATCCGATCCCAAATTTCGGATTGGGATTGGGATTGGGATTGGGATTGAGGTCCAAAAAAGTGGATCTCATTTGAAATTTCAATTGCAAAGAATGTGAAATAGATATGACTTCCCTCCACAGGGGTGACCACAATGTCCTTTCGACCCTACTCAACACTTCACTTTCCACCTTGCACATAAATTGCATAAAATGCATTTTTAAAATCATTTTATATACAGTATAAGTAAATATGATTAATTCCAGTAGTTTTATTGAATGCAATATTATTTGTAAAAAATACTATTTAAAGGTTGTTTTACAGTTACAGTGACCAAACGTCAAGGTTTCATCTTGATTGTCAAGGAATGATGGTAGCTGTCAAGGTTCAACGAGGGGTCTATTCCTTGACATTCAAATGCCAGGAATTGCAATATTTTAAAATATAGTCATTAACAGGAAAATGCTGATATTTTTATTTAGTGCTTAAACTATAATTTCAAATCAAAATTGCAAAACAAATATTTTGTATTACTTGAGTACATATCACTGAAATCAATAGAAAATAGCTATAAAATAATAAGTTTTCCAACAAATTTAAAAATAAATCATTTTAAACAAACCTTTGTTTTCCATTTGACAGTCATACAACAAAAATTAATGTGTTAACAAATTCGATGTGAATAAATAATAGTAATGGCATCGAAAGCGAGTGTATCACAAAATCTTAAGAAGTCTAGATCTAGTCGATGAAAACAATTTTATGTTAATTGGCTAACAAATGATGAGTTCATAGCATTGTGTAAATACTGTTCAGTGAAGTACACAATTAAATACAAAAGGATTATTGCTATTAAAAGCCACAAAATGAGGCTCTAAACATTAATTGAGACAAATGGCAAAACTAGTCAACAATGGATTCACTTTTCTCGAAAACAATGCCATCGGATGACAAGAATGTGATTATTGCAGCGCTATGTCTAACATACCTTTCAATATCACATAATTTAAGCAATCATTTCGTTTAACGCGTGTTCAGTCAATAGCATCGGGTATGGACCGATAATAGGAGCCGTTTAAGCATCGATTTAATTAATGCCCAAATATGTGTTATGATTTTGATTTAAACTATTTAATTTAATATATTACGTAATCTAATGAAAAAACAATAGAAATTCTAAAATCTTGAGTGAAAATATGCAGTAATTTTCTTAATTAGCAGTGTTTTTGCGAATTGTCAAGGAATTTTATAAATTTTTAAAGTAAAAATCAAGGTTTGTTCCAAAAGTATTGGTCAGTATATTTACAGTACAGTATCAAATAAAGTTCATACTCGTCACAATAAATATAGTAGTTTTATAACTTATAAGTACAGTAATTATCTAAAATTTAATTATTTTACACCAATATCTCGAATTTATATGATCACTATTTTAATTTATTCAAGTGTATACAGATAAATTATTAATTCAAATTTGAAAATAGTCTGTCCTCCTAACGTCTTCCCATAACATTACATTTATGGCAAATATCCTTGGTGCTCACAAATTTCTGTTCTCTGTTTAACTTTCACTCCAATCCTAAAAACAATAATTTCTTGTCTATTATCAAAAGTAATCAAAAGTCAACGAAAAAAGTATTATAATATAATGTTTGGGAAAACAAACCCAAACTTATGGATGACTCGTGAGTTGAAAGCTTTTTTAAAACAAACAGTTTATTATAAACTTCTATACTTTATTCGTAAGCATTAGGAAAAGCTCACAACTCATCCATAAGTCTGGGTTTGCTTTCCAAATACAAATATTATTTGACTGCATTTTTGATTAAATAACGATTTACTTACTCATTAGTAAAGGATTACTGATCTCTGTTTAAAAATTAATAATATTTCTTATATAGAGGTTTCGACATTAAATTGTTTAGGTGTGATCCACAAAATATGTACGTACGCCTAGAGGGAGGGGGTCATGCCAAAGACTTATGAAAGCGTATGTTATATTGGGGAGGGGGTTATGGGATAGTGTATGTCCGCTAGGGTGAGGTTAGATCTATGGCCAGAGTTCATTAGAAGTACCAGAAGTAAAACAACTGTCATATATAATATATACTTTAACCCATTTCACATGAAATGAAAACTTATCTCACCAGTCAATATTAAATATCCAAATTTTGGAAATTAGATTTTGAATGAACATAAAACCAATTTTCAGAGGTTTTAGACATTAGCAAGGTAAATATTTTGTAAAAGTAGTATTAAAAGTTAATTAATAATGAACTACAGTATTATCCTATCAAAAGTTTAACTTAACTTCATTATCCTGTTCAGTTTATTATTGTTGCTATTAATTAGAAATTTATTGATGTGA